CAGTCGTATAATGCATGGCAATGGTAACAAAATGTATGAGAGTAAAAAAAACATGAACAGATAAATCCAAATTAAACCCTGCGGCTCGTGATGACACATTGATGTCCTAAGACAAGAAACGATCTGTTTGTGCCAGAAACCGAATAGTATTTATATCATTTTTTACCTCTAATACACCACTATGTCCAACTGTCTTTGTGCCTGCGCACTGCTTCCGATCTCTTGCGCGTGTACGTCACTCATTGTTTACACAGTGCACAGTTATTGTAGGTATGACGGCTAATCAAATGGTACTTACTTGTGCTTATCCGGATTGTTCAAACCGACTTAAAACTAAAAGATTACGTTCTCTCGCGCCAACTCATTCGGGAGTGGTGACTTTCCACGTATTCCCAACTTCTGAGCCTGCTCGCCTGAAGTTATGGTTGATTGCTCCTCGGCTGGATTTCAACACACTGTGACGAGTCGGCTGCCTCCCCCTAATTATCAGCATCACCCCGTCCCTTAATCGCCGCCCTTCGCCAGGCTCCCGACATGAGTGGGTGCGTGTGAGAGGAGGGGCGCTGAAATAGCCAGGGCTGGCGACGTGTGATGGGGCACACCTGAACCGAATGGAGCCTCATCACCGCCGCTGTTTAAATGCCGAGCGCGCCTCTCCTCGGGAGACCGGTCTCTTCCCCGTGCATGCACGCTGGTGTCCTCGTGGGTCCAGGAGGGGTGCATAGAGGGACTCTCATGCCGCCAGAGTCGTGAGCTGCCCGACCCGCAGTCCGGACGAGAACCGCACCCTTTACACGGCCGTTGGGCAAGGATGCTGGGCCGTCTAGTCCCTTCAAGCGCCGTGGGCAGAGAGAAGGACGAAGCCGCTGATAGAAGCCGCCGCCCCTCGCGCCCCGGACCGGAGATGGGAGCGCGTGCGGCCGCCGGACTCCGCCCCTTACCTGGACCCTTGCTTCCTGACCACTGCCCTTCCATTCACGAACCCCGCAGCACGACGAGGACACCAGATCCCCTGTTTATTTTGGACACTTGATTCCCTTTTTTCTGGACACTGTTTATTTTCTGTTAATAAAAGCCTCTCCGAGGCCTGATGCCACACCCACTGTGTCTGTCGTTTGCTCCTCCCGCGACAACACCATTAACGTAAACTACGCCAGAGCGCGTACACACCTCACGCACCGGAAGCCGTGCGTGGGCACAAAGACAGTTGGACATAGTGGTGTATTAGAGGTAAAAAATTATATAAATACTGTTCGGTTTCTGGCACAAACCGATCGTTTTGTGTCTTAGGACATCAATGTGTCGTCACGAGCCGCAGGGTTTAATTTGGATTTGTCTGTGCATGTTTTTTTACACTCATAGATTTTGTTACCATTGCCATGCATTATAAGACTGATAGACTGCAACGGTTGGACTTAAAAATCATCAAATGTGTTCTACTGCAGAAACAAAGTCACCTACATCTTGGATGCCCTGGGGGTAAGCAGATAAACATCAAATTTTAATTTTTGGGTGAACTATCCCTTTAAGTAGCACTTGAAAATCATCATAGATCTACGAGTGCTCTGGAGTAATCGTAAAGCCTTAAGTGCATCGTAAGAAGACAGATTTATGCAGTCACCTGCAGGACAATCGGCAGATTACACCTTTAACTTTATTCAAGTGCAATGTGATTATAATATAAGGATTTGATTGTACTTTATTGTACACTTTGTTACTCTTTTTTTTTTTATTATTATCAATTAAATAATTAAAAAAATAGAAATGCACACCTAAATTAAATGACTGATCTAAATAAATAAATAAAAGAAGTAATGTAGGAAATATGCTTCAAAGACTGGGAAAAGTCTGTCAATGACTTGCTGACGTGCACCAGCTATGTATTGGACCCGGAAGCCATTCTATAAGGTGACATTTCAGCACTTGACAAACGGATAGCGACTCCTAAGTAGCACTTAAAGCACGGCTACGTGCGATTGTGTTAAGTGCATTTTTGGGAAACGCACATGAAACAATAGCGAACGATCGTAAATTGACTCGTAGAAAACGCTCTTAAGCGCTAAGATCAATCGTTATCGAGAAATGCAGCCCAGACCGGTACAGATGGTTTAAAGTTAAAATTTCTAATAAACAATTTAAATATTCGTCCATACCGATTATAGTCGCCGATATATCGTGCATCGCTACATCTCTGTGGTTTTTAAATAAAGCTAATATAATTGTTACAGACTACAGTTCATGTTGGAATTACTGTCAGTGTTTATAAAGAGTTTCCTACCTCTGAATTACTGAAGTAATCAAGACATTTTTATTGTATTTTTTTAGATCTTTTCTAGTTTGTCTTAAGTATCCAAATACCACCAAGTGTATTTTTACTTTCACCATCCCGGTCCTGCTTTGCTATGCTCACGGTTTTTTTTTTTTTCTTTTGAAGACCTTCTTTTTTGTTTGCATCATTTCCTGTTCATGCTTCAAGCCGTACATTGAGAATGCATGTGTGCAGCGGAAAGCATCTCTTTGCCCTCTTTTCACTCATTTCATGTCCATCGAGAAACAGCGAAGAGAACACATTGATATTCAGAGCCGTCTGCTCTCAGGGTTCATTGGTTATTTATGCGTTGGCATTTAGAAGCTCAAGGAGTCGACGCCAATATATATTTATCACTTTTAATATTTAATGATGCTCCTTTTCCGTTAGCAACCGCTGGATCTTTCCTCCTGCCCAGTTACATTTGAACAGCCCTTCAAATGATTGCAAATGGTGTTGTTTTCCGGGGGTTTCATCAGGATTTTATTTTTATTTATTTGGTTGCTTCAAGAAATAAACATCAGATAAGAAATTGTGTATTTATTATTTAAATTGTATTATTTAATAAAAAAAATTATTTAGTAACAGTTTTTTTATTTTGTTAATTGTTTTATTAATAAAAAATCCCTTATGTGGTTTGCAGTCATATCAATATTTTGTTAAATTTTATTTCATTTTTAATCAGATTATTTTACGTAGCTATTTTCAGCTGGTTGATTCTTTTTCAGACTATTCTGGATAAATCCGTAAAAAAATCAATAGAAGTAGCAATAATAATAATAATAAGTAGATAAGTAAAAGTAGATAAAATTATTAATATTAATTATCAATAAAAAACCATAGATCTAAATAAAGAATATGAAAATTAATGCAAAAGTAATAAAGATTTATTCAAATTAATAATAAAAATGAATAATTAATTTAATAATGCTCGTTATTGAAAATAATATTGAGAAGAACTTGTCAGATTTATCTTTTTTGGGCTGATTTTTATTTCATCCACCATGCATGGTTATTTTTCCTTTCTTATGACATAATTTCCTGTCATCTCTTTTTTTTGCCATTCTTCATTCATTCCCTCATCTCCTATCTTGTATATGGCAGTAAAAACTCTTTCGTTCTTCACCTCCTTCAGGTTCAGACTCTTCTAGTAGCGTAGGTTCCTCTTCCGGGTCGCTCTCTCGGCCGTCTCAGCTGCCGTTACCCACCCCCGTTCTACCCCAGCCCAGTCGGGGCTTCACCGTGGCCCCCGCGGCCCCTCTTCCGGCCCCAGCCCCTCAGAGCACGACTACTAACGCTAACATTAATACTAACGCTAGCTTCTACATCGTTCCTGTGGACAGCACCGCCATCCCCCCGGGCAGCATGCTGCTCAATCCACAGACAGGTTGGTACCAGCTGACCAACACTTACTTCAAAGGATGGAGGTTGTGCTGCATCAGATCTTATTCGCGATACTAACTTTTCATACTAATTCATTGTTGTGCAAATGAAATCGAGTTTGTAAATGCAGAGTTGGATTTCAGAGTGTTTTTGTCTTCTACAGGTCAGCCTTTTGTGAACCCCGATGGCAGTCCGGTGGTTTACAACCCCACCATGACATCACTGCAGGGGCGGGGCCAGCAGCACATGACTCTACATCCGCCCCCTCCTCCTCCGCCTCTTCCTCCTCCCCCTCAACCTCAGCCAGCCAATCACCTTCTAGCACAGGTCAGGAAAATTATTTTTTTTTTTTTTGTGTGTGTTTCATTTTTCTTATTATTTTGGAGTTTTTATATTTAAATAAATATTTGAGTTAAGTTTTTTGTTTATTTTGTTTAACTTGCTCTTTTTCTATTTCTTTAATACTTTTATATTTAAATAATTTAATTTAATTTTAAATTTAATTTTAATTCATTTTAATTAATGTGTTTTCAGGTATTTTGTATTAAATAAAATAAAATAAAATTATTTGTTGAATTTCTTATTTTTAATGTTTATATTTAAATGTATTTTAAATTTTTATATTAAATTTATATTTATTAGTTTTCCTTTTTTAAACTTAGGTTAATATATCGTATTATTTGTAATGTTTTTATCTTTTATTTTATTTTAGTTTTAATTTTTTCTGTTAAATGATTGTTTTAGTTAATTTCATTTAGTTTTTCTTATTTTTTATTTAGTTGAATTTATCTTATTTTTAACATGTTTATATTTAAATGTATTACATTTATTCAAATTGTTCTTTATTTTTTTATATTTAAATAATCATAGTAATAAAGTATTTTTATTCTATATCTGTATCTATATTTATATCTATATTTTTTTATTATAATTTTACAATTTTTAATTTTTATTTTCAAAATATGTTATTTGATTTAGTTTAGTTTTTCTTATTTTTTAATTAAGTTGAATTGTTTTTACAAATATATATTTCTTAATTGAATTTACTTATATTTTTCTTTTATGATTAATTATATATAATTTTTTATAATTTAATAATCTTTGAACATCTACAGTCAAAGCAATATTTAAAATAGTAGTCATCATATTGGTTATGGGCTATAACAATATTCTAAATGGCTGTCAGTATCTCTCAGTTTCAATAGTCATGCTTAAAAATACAATAGCACAAAAAATGTTGTTTATTATTCTCATTCATCCCTTGTTTATCATTTATACATTTAAAGTATCGGTCATCATATTGATTATCTGTCATAACACAAATATTATATGTGGTAAATGGTATTTATTATGTCAGATAAATCCTGTAGTTAAATCTATTTTTTCAATTAAGATTGATATGTAAGGCTAAGAGTTTCTTAACATTTGCAGAGTTTGAGAGTTATTCATGTGTTCATTTCATCTAGACTTGACTATTGTAATTCTCTTTATATTGGAACGAGTCTATCCCATATTAGTCGTTTTCCCCAATATCTCACACTTTGCACTGGCTGCCGATTTGTAATAGAATTTATTTTAAAAAAAAAATTTTTTTTAAAGCTCTCACTAAATGATCCTTTGTCTTTTTGTACAGCACAATGGTCAACTACTGTTGTTTTTATTTGATGTTTTGGTAATATATTGGTTATTTAATAATTTTTTTTCTCCCTGTATTTTTGGCTTGTGAATGGCGCTAGTGAAATAGTTTGTTGTCTTTAGCGGTTACTATTTCTCTTCAGCTGTCATTCGTTCTGTCCTTCGGTGCGGTTTCTCTGATGGTTGTCTTTGATCGTCTCTTCTTCTTTGTCTGTGTTTCTCTTCTCTGTCCTCTGCAGTCGTCTGCTCAGCCTGTGCAGTTTGCTGCGGTCTCTTGTGCTCCTCTGCTGCCTGGTGCTTTCACTCAACAATACACTGTGGTACTTCTCTCCTCCGTCACTGTCCTTCTGGAAACGTTTCTTTTCTCTTTTCCCCTCGATTTATTAAAGAAGCTATATCATGGAAAGATTTCTCTTGTTCTTTTGAAATGAGTTCAATATATGATACATACATACCATAATATTCACAACTTTTAAAAATGAATTTATATTTCATTTACAATTTTATTATTATAGTGTATTTTATAATTTTTTAGGCTTTTCTTGTTCTTCCAAAACAGTCTAATATACGATACATACATACCAGAATATTCACAACTCTTACATTTTAAAATTTGTTTTTATTTTTATTTATATATCATTTTATATTTAATTAATAATTAAATTGCTCTTCGGCGTCCCGTGTTCGAGTCCTGGCTCGCGGACCTTTCCCGATCCCATCCCCCTCTGCAGTCGTCTGCTCAGCCTGTGCAGTTTGCTGCGGTCTCTTGTGCTCCTCTGCTGCCTGGTGCTTTCACTCAACAATACACTGTGGTACTTCTCTCCTCCGTCACTGTCCTTCTGGAAACGTTTCTTTTCTCTTTTCCCCTCGATTTATTAAAGAGGCTATATCATGGAAAGATTTCTCTTGTTCTTTTGAAATGAGTTCAATATATGATACATACATACCATAATATTCACAACTTTTAAAAATGAATTTATATTTCATTTACAATTTTATTATTATAGTGTATTTTATAATTTTTTTAGGCTTTTCTTGTTCTTCCAAAACAGTCTAATATACGATACATACATACCATAATATTCACAACTTTTAAAAATGAATTTATATTTCATTTACAATTTTATTATTATAGTGTATTTTATAATTTTTTTAGGCTTTTCTTGTTCTTCCAAAACAGTCTAATATACGATACATACATACCATAATATTCACAACTTTTAAAAATGAATTTATATTTCATTTACAATTTTATTATTATAGTGTATTTTATAATTTTTTTAGGCTTTTCTTGTTCTTCCAAAACAGTCTAATATACGATACATACCAGAATATTCACAACTCTTACATTTCAAAATTGGTTTTTATTTTTATTTATATTTCATTTTATGTTTCATTTATATTTTTTGTAGTTCGTAGTTTTTTTTTTATTTTTCTTGTTCTTCCAAAAAAGTTTAATATACGATACATACATACCAGAATATTCACAACTCTTACATTTTAAAATTGTTTTTATTTTTATTTATATTTCATTTTATATTTCATTTATATTTTTTGTAGTTTATTTTTTTAATTTTTTTCTTGTTCTTCCAAAACATACGATGCATACATACCAGAATATTCACAACTCTTACATTTTAAAATGTTTAATTTTTTTTATAATTGTATTTATTATTTTCTTTTATTATTTATAATAAAAATAATATAATACAATTTAAAATTATTCATAATTTTTTATTTTTATTTTTTATTTTAATACGCTCACTTTGATACAAATAAATATTATTACTAAAGTGTACAATATGGCCCTTTTAATATTTTGTTTTTGTTTTCTTCCTATTTTCAGTAATTCTCTGTCATTTTTGCATTTTTAATTTTATTTTCTATATTCTGTTGCCATCCAGTTTCTGATCTCGGTGTGTCACAGGGTACCACAGAAAGTGTGGTTTATTTCTGTCACTTTTATTGATTAATCTCTCCAAACTTTGGAAACGAGCCCCATGTGAGTTGGCTGTGCCTGGCGGAGGGGCTCATGACTTAATTGGGTCACTTCTGTCATTTCTTACGGTGTGACCCATTTTCACCAAATATAACACCCTCCTTAACAAATTCAGACCACATCAATAATTAATGGCACCAGATGTTGTTACTTTTTTAATAAAACGATGTGTAGCATTTGTGATGCCAGCAGGGTCTCTGGTCTTGGTGGATGGTGGGCCGGACTTTGATCTGTGCTGGTTTTGAAAGCTTAAAGTCCTCAATGTGACGCCCTGGTTTAGTTTTTGAAAGTGTGTGATCCACTTCCACTTCTTCAAAAATATCTCCTTTTGTTGCATAATCAAATGAAGACGGACTGTTGGGTTTCAAATGAGAGAGATTGACTGATTGTAAAAATAATTACATTTATATTTGAAAAAAAAAAGTTAATTTGGATTTCAAAATTTATACTTTGACATTATTGATTTATTTTTTCCCACCCACAAGGCCTTGAGTAAATAATTTTTAGTAGTATTAAAAGTAGTAATTAAAAAATATTAAAAATAAATATTACTTAAGTACATAAGTCAATGATTTCCTACATAGCTTAGTTGGTTTCACTCAATTTTTTTTCTCACATAATTTAGTAAATTAAAGTTAAATAAATGTCATATATATATATTAAAATAAAAAAGGATTTTAAAATAAATATACACAGATTTAAAAATAACTGTAAATAACATTTATAATAGTGTAAATTATAAAATATTTTTTCTGCCAGTTTTAACAAATTAATATTTATTATAAAATTGAATAACACTTTTTTTATATATATATATCATTTTAAACTATTTTTTTAAATAGAAAACTGGTTTTCAGATATGTAAAAATATATATAAATGTTAAATAATGTATTGTGAAATCACATTTAAAATAATGTAGAGTAATGTTTAGTTTTTTCACACAATGTTTTAATTACATATTCATTATAAAATTAATAATTTGCATCCATATCGATCCATTTTTTCACATTTTTTATATATATATATATATACACATACATGCATGCATACATTAATTTAATACATATATATATGTGCATATAAGTTATTTTTAATTTTAGAAAATGAATGTATTAAAATCAAATGTAAAATTATGTAGATTATAAAATATTTAGTATTTCCTAACAAATCTTTTTTATGAAATATAAAAAAAATTAAATATACACATTTTATTTGTACATGTACTTTGCAAATTTGTATAAATAAAAAAATCCACATTTATTTACCACAAAATATATATATATATTTTTTTTAATATATATTTAGTTAGTAGTTATTAGCTCGACAACTGGGCTTCAGTGTTTTAAACTGAATCTGACCTGTTCTCTTGTGTATTAAAACAGCAACAGGACGGTTTAAGTGCTCAGTTCAGCCAGATGAATCTCATTCGGCAGCCTTCGGGTGACGCTCCGGACCCCCACACGGGCCTCTACCCACAATCCCTGCTGCTCCAGAACCCTCCACCCACCGGCTACATGCTTTCATCGCCGGGACAGCCCATGAGCGGTCACGCTTACCCCCATCCCACAGCCATCAATCAAGCGGTCCTGCAGCCGCACGGATACGTCCAGCAGCCCGTGCAGCAGGTACAAACCCACGTTCATGGTACATGACCTGCATTATGTGACCACAGGTCAGGGTTTACGTGTGTGTGTTTCTGCAGGTGTCGGCGTGTTACTGCGCCCCAGGACAGTATTCACACTCCACCCAACACTACAGAGCAGTGACGCCGGTACACTACAGCGCCCCCCAGAGTCAGACACTGCCACCGCAACAGACAGGTACAAACACACTTCCTGTCTGAGTGGGCACTTCCTGGCAGGGTTTTCTGATTGGAGCGCTGGGAGACGGGGCCGTGTCACTGTATGAGATTCGTAGTCATTCTCACAGTGAACCGGTCTCTTTTCCCAGCCCTCACTCCTCAACTCTGACCCCCACTGTTCTGCTGACAGAGTTTTAGTACTGGAAAATGTCAAAATATTCATAAAGCACATTTAAAATCAATCAGGTTGAGCCAGAGTGCAGAAAACAAACAGATCAATAAATTATTCATTTCCAAAATGCTATATTCATGACAAACGAGCAATAAACGAACAAACAGATAAATATTCATTGCCATATCACCAAAGGCTATATTCATAATGAACAGTAATTAAATAAATAAATAAACAAACAAATACGAATTCAATACTGTATCAACAAAGGCTGTATTCATTACAAACAGTATATATATATATATATATACAAACAAACTAAATAAATATGAATTGCCATATTACCAAAGGCTATATTCATGACAAACCATAAATATATTAATAAGACTAAATCTATAACTAAAATGAACACCATTAAAATATATTTCCATTACTCTAAATAAAATAAATGTTAACAGAAATAAAATGTACAATAAAAACCATTTATTTGAGTTAGTTTTAACATTACTTTAACTTGATGTATAAAATAACAAAAATGTTGTTTAGCTTTGTGTATATATATATATATATATATATATATATATATATACACAAACAAACTAAATAAATATGAATTGCCATATTACCAAAGGCTATATTCATGACAAACCATAAATATATTAATAAAGTATAAATAAACAAATAAATATTCATTGTCATATTAGCATCGCAGGAAAATGCAAAATACAAAAAGGAAAGTACAATAAAGTATGTAAGATGGAGAGAAGAAATGCAGTAGCACAAAAATTCAATGTTGAAAAAAGTATTGAATGCCAATTTCTACAAGTTTATTTTTATAAATGTTTCCAGAAGTTAACTTCTTTTAATTTAGCTAATTATCATTAAACTAGTTTTTATTATATAGAAACATGCTAATAAGCTCTCAGAGTGCCTTAGCAACCACATAGCAACACCATGGCAAACCATGCATGTGGGTAAGTGCTGCGTGGGCGACATCACTCATATTTCCTTCTGGAAATGCACAACTGTGGTTAGAAATAAAATTGGGCTTTTAGTTTCTTTTACGGGTGAGGTTTTATCTGCTTTGCGCCTTGTTTTTAGTCTGTAAGAACTGGGAAAAAATGAAAGAAATAGAAAAGAGGATGCAGAGTTGCTGTGTGTGTGTGTGTGTGTGTGTGTGTGTGTGTGTGTGTGTGTGTGTGAAGAGGAAAAAAATCTTGTCAACAGTGACATTGAAAGACCCCATTTCACAGGAGCGTGAGTGTGTGGGGCTTGTATGGTCTAAATCGACAGGCTTTTATTCTCTTCACTTTGGCCTTGCAAGGGCAGGTAAAAATAGCTGTGTACTCAAACACACACACACACACACACTGGAGAGAACAAGCCATCCGTTCATCTGTACTGGATCTGATGAGAGCAGAAGTTGGAGAGGAATGAAGAATCACTGGAGTTCAGATGGTCTGTCACCGTATATAGATCACAGTCCACACAAAATCCCTGCTAGCCTTCTATAACAAAAAATAATTAATATTATAGATAATAAAAAATACACCGTCCCCGCTCGAAATTCATTCCCGTTTATTAAATATATATTGAATTAATACAAAATATATGACATTACTAAATATATAGTATTCATTAAATATATTTAATAAATGTTATTAAATATTATTACATTAAATAATGAATGCCAATATAATATATTTTTGTATTCTTATTCTTATTTAGATGGTCTGCCATGGTCCACCGTATAGATCCCAATCTGCACAAAAACCCTGCTAGCATTCAAATAAATACATTTTATAGATATTATTATTATTATTATAATAAACCTATGCATTATATTATACACTGTGTTTTATATATGTTTTCAGTATTATTAGATATTTAGTATTCATTTATTAAGTGTAATATTTAGTCAACATTATTAAATATTAAGAAATTATTAAATTAATACCAAATAATATGATACACTTTATATTATTATTATTATGTATAAACCCATATTACAGTATAGATTTTATTTGTATATATTACATATTCAACTTTTTATATTAAATGTTTATTGCATTTCATATTTAATAAACATAATTAAATCATTAAATATTAAGTACAACAATAATACAGTGTTTATTTATTCATTCATTCATTCATTCATTCAAGCCAATCATTAAAAATCTATTTATTAAATATTACCAAGTTGTTTTTTTATTAAATATTGCAATAATATTATTTCTACTATGTTATTTATACGTATTATTATTAGTAGTAGTATTTATAAACAGATCATTATAAACCTTATCAGTCTGGCTCATGGATAATAACATTAATCCAGTCATCATAACTGATTTTCTGGAAAAAGCAGAATAAATAAATGATTTTTCTTATAATTTCCACCAATTTCACAGACATCACAAACTTGCGTATCTAATATTCTTGCTACTTAATGTGCCACAAAACGCATTTGATTCCACAGTCCTTAGTCAGCAACTGTTTTTCCTCAGAATGCCTGCTGTTTCCTCACAACCGCTCTGAGACGCCCATCTGTTCCCACTCATATTCACACTGTCTTTTACTTCATTTCACGTATTTGAATCTTTTCATAATTAAACTGCGATATTAAAAGTTGTTTACAGCTTTAATGTTGCGTAAATCTCTGTTTTTTCACTTTTTTTCGTTAATGTTTTGCTCCCAGATGTTGTTTGTTCGTCGTTGGCTGTTGTTTATGCTAATAAGTTGCTGTCTTAATGTGTTTCCAGGTTTCCAGACGGTCATGCCCGCTCAACCCCCCAGTTACCAGGGCATGATGGGAATTCAGCAGACTCAGAACCAATCGCTGATCGGCTCTCAGGGCGGAATGGCCAATCAGATTCAGAGCGTGATGGTGCAGTATCCCACAATGCCTCCGTATCAGGTGAGTGCAGCGTTTTGCATGTCTCTTAATGTTTTTGGGTATCTGAGAGTGATTTTGATGAGGTGACGTGTGCGTTCGGCAGGTGTCTGTGCAGCAGGGTTCTCAGAGTGTTCCTCAGGCAGCCTATCAGCAACAGATCGTGCTGCAGGGACAGACCAATCAGGCGCCAGCGCCCTCCGCCAGCATGCAGGTGTATTACAGCATGATGCCGCCAACGCAACACTCTAGCACCAGGTAACACACGTGTGTCCAGCCAATCAGATTAAAGCATCGCTGAATGTGATTGTGATTGAGCTTGATTTGTGTCTCATGTGAACTTCCTGTGATCGTACAGCTCGACAGTTGGTTTCCTCCCTCCGCTGGGTTCAGAGCAGATGCAGTTTCCCCGACCGCCCTCCCCCTGCGGTTCTCAGCCAATCACAGGCCAGCAGTGCACAGGTATGACAGCCTTGTCGACCAATCACAAAACAACTAGAAAAAGTAATAAGCCTGAGTGCATGAAAAAAATTAATAAAATATAGACTTGAACCATAATGCATTGGAATTTTAAAAGGTATATTTTTTCAATGCCTAATTATGCATAAATTTAAAATAAAGAAATAAAAAAATGTAATAACATATAATTAAATTATATATATATACTTTTTTCAAAATACAAAGTTTAAATATTACAATAATTATACTTTAAATTAAAATTTTATATATATTTGCAATTTTAATATTCATTATTTTCCTTTATAATTTTTAAGTAATATATATACAGTGTGTATATGTATGTATATATATATAGATATAGATAGATAGATACATATATACACACACACACACACACACTTTTTTTATGACACTGGGCTTATTTTTCTTAACTAAAATATTTTCGCAGATAAGTCGCACTTGACTATAAAATGCACTGGGTCAAAAAAAACACACACATTGGTATATAATCAGAAAAAGATAGTAAAATATATATGTAGAGAGGGATGGATGGATAGATAATAAAAATACAAAATGGGTTATATTCCAGAAAATGCAGTATCCATAATTTAAATTGAAAATAAATGACTAAATATGAACTATATAAAAAAAATAGTACAAATATTCAAAATAATATTCAGTGGTCACAAGATTTTTTTTTCTTAAGTTTCTTTTTCTTAATAGTAATCTTTTTCTCTTAATAATTTATTGAGGTCATCCGTGTGTAAACAATTTTTTTTTAATGATGAAAACTGAAACTCGTGTCTAAAGGTTAATGTATATAGCTCTGCGCCATTTACTAACGGCAGGTATTTTTTTAATTCGATATCAAGTCTTTGCACGTCTCTCGGTTAATAAGTTGAGCACATATAATGAGCTTTGAGCAGTATATTTCTCATTTTCAAAATGTTTTACGTAGCCGTTTAATTAAATGTTGTTTACAATTCTGGTTTGTGCTCGTGCCTTATGGTGTTTGTGAAGAGCTCCTCATGCCTTTGAGAAGCAGCGAGAACAATCAATGTTTATTTAAATAAACCTCAGTGTTAATGGACGCTCAGCTGGTGTGTGTGCGTTTGTGTGTGTGTGGATGAGGTGATGATTATGTTGCTGAAGAAGAGGGTGTTTTTAATGAGGAAGAGGCGAGATCCACACACTCTTTGACCTTTCACTGTTTAATAAAGCACTTTAATTGGCCGGTGTGTGTGTGCATTGTGTGTAACGGTACATCGTTTTTGTCTGTTATTGAATAATTCAGTTGCAACATTGTATTTATAACACCAGTGATGATATATGTCTGCAGTAGTGAAGATTTACAACTCTAAAGGTTAATAAGAATAATACTGCTATATGTGTGCAACAGTACTATACGAGATACAATAATATTAAAAAATAAGTGAACAATGTGAAGTATAATTGTTTTAATGAATCCATTTGACTAATGATTGAATTTAATCAGTGTTAATAGACAAATGTATTAATATATATATATATATATATATATATAAAATATAGTATAATACTGTTTTCATCATATAAAGCACTGTCTAAATATTACTATTATATATAACATTTTAAAACCATTACTGTTTTCATTTACATTTAAACGTGTAAATACATTATACAATTTAGTTTTTCATTTTAAAACGTTTGTATTTTATTACAATCTATTGTTTATTACTATTTATTTATTAACAAATTAATTATATTAAATAACAAATGGAAATCATACTGTTGTTAAAAAAGGTAACAGATCATTGAAAAGTTATAAAAATAGTAGATCTTAATACTATATTTTTAATATTAAATTATTAATTGTGATGAAATGAAATAAATGTATTAACTGTATATGTAGTTTGAAAAATTGTAGTTAACATTTTTACAATTTTTGATATGCATTTTGTTGCGCAACAATCCATAATTTCAAATTACATGTAATATTTTTTTCATTTTTTTATGTTTCTAATGCATGTCTTATATTTTATATCTTATATTTTTATTAAACATAATTTATTTTAAAACATTCCTGTTCTATTTAAGTGCAATCCATAATTTAGTAATATTATTAATAATTTTTTTACAATGCATATCTTGTATCTTATATTTTTAATTATACGCTTTATATATTTTAATACATTTCCATCTCGTGCAAGTACGTACTGAAATCTGAAGTATGCATGGTGATTTTCAGCTGTGCCTCCGCCGCCCCCTGCTGGTGGAGTGGTGATGATGCAGTTGAGAGTTCCTCCCAGCCAGCAGCCCAGAGCCCCGTCCCCACCGCACTGGAAACCCACCCGTTACTACAAACACTGCGACCTGCTGCCACAGGACACCACACGGGTACAAACACCTGCATCACGTCCCATGTGACCTCATTCTCACGTGACGCAACATTCGTAACCTTTCTCTCTCGCTTTCTAGAATAATCCACAGCAGCTGCTAAGCCCCTCCCCCTCTCCGGCTCAATCGCCTGCTCCCGCCCATCTGGCCAATATGAAGGGGCCTCGTCCTGGCCACGCCCCCTTTCCCATCATGCCTCAGTTGTCCCGCCCGTACGCTCCAGGCCAAGGTGAGCCAGTCGGAGTGTATATAAATTTTGATCTCTTTTTGGTACATTTTGGTATTCTTGGCAAATTTCTGGTACTTTTATTACAGTTTTGCACATCTTTATATATTTTTGGTATATTTCCGGTATAATTAAGGTTTTTTGGTACATCTTGCATATTTATGGTATGTATTGGGTATATATTTGGTATATTTTTATATATTTCTGACACATTTTAAAGGGTTAGTTCACCCCAAAATGAAAATTCTGTCATTAATTACTCACCCCCATGTCGTTTCAAACCCGTAAGACCTTCGTTCATCTTTGGAACACGAATTAAGATATTTTTGATGAAATGTGAGACCCTGCATAGACCGCAACGCAACTGAAATGTTCCCAGACAGAAACGTAGCAAGGACATCGGTAAAACAGTCCATGTGACATCAGTGGCCAACCCTCTACATTCCGAGTAAGTCACTCGCATATGCGACTAAATTTTACTCTGGGCGACTAAATAATGTCTAACATTAGCCATTGGCTAATAAATTCTTAGATTTTACAAGCCAGTATGTGTGTGAGAGGCGTTCAACACAGATTTTCACTCGATAAACACGCTGACTGAGTGCTTGAGTTTCGCTCTCCGTCAAGCGATCTGTACTATTTGGATACGCTCAATGGATCATGTCATGTACTCAATAGATGCACAGTATGTAGCACGCAGTGCCCCTGTATTTGACGTACCGTAAACTAGTGTGAAGGCGCACGACTCGCCGTCGCTTTACTCATAGCGCTGTGTTTCTCACACATGCAAAGAGAGAGAGCGAGAGTCTTACATACCACGCTGAATCGACGCGCTACGTGTAAACCATATTCTTTGTTGTATTTTCCTGTCAAAATAACAG